CGCAGAAAATTAATTAAGGTAGATAAAAACTGATTCGAACACTTATCATACAAATTTAAAAAATAAATAAAAAAGAGAAAAATGTAAAAAGATTAAAGAGAGAATAGGGTTGTGAATAGCTTATAGCAGATAAAATAGTCAAAGCGATGGGTCCCTATCTGATTACAAAGGAAGTCAAATCCAATCCAATCCTATCCTTAAAAGAGAAGACATTAAATTTAAATTAATCAGAACCGACACTATATCCATTCTTTGCGTGTTGACAGCTTACATACAAACACAAACCCCATGGCCATCTCTTTATTTTGGTAAGAAAAAAAACACAGAATACATAAATACACACAGTACAGTCCCTATTTTTCAAAAAGTGTGGATTTCCCTGTTCCCTCGGTCAAAGGTTGAGCCGTTTCCGCTCAACTTTTCTGCCATTTTTTTCAACTTCTTTCGTTCACATCACCATCACCCCTCTAACCTTTTTTTATCAAAAGTTTTTTTTGTTTTAAATTTAATAAACGTTGGCTTGCCTTACTGTACACGAATAATTTTGAGTGTGTTTGATGATTGATCAAACTTGTTACCTTGGGATTGGATACACTTTTTTGAAAATAATACAAACAAAATATTAAATTTTTTTTTTCCAAAAAGTTTGAGAAATTAGGGTTTGCCCTCATAAATGTATACACCCCAACATTCGTATGGCTTCTTTCTGCATATTATTTTCAAAACTAATTCAAACAACCATGTGTAACTTGGTCACCAAGATTATTGACTGTATTACAGCAATCTGATGGTTGAAATGGAGGCACTAGTTACAAAACTTTTGGAAACGAAAGAGAGAGGTGGCACATGGTGTTGATACTTGAGTTAATTAAGCTTTGGCAGAGGAGTTGGAATATTTAACAAAACAAATTGAATGAGTTTGTACCTGTTTGTCTGTCAAAAAATTTCAATAGTAATAGTCTGGTTGTTTTTTAATTAATATAATTAGGTATTGGTCAGTTGACTCTGTTTATTTGCATTAAAATTTTACCAATTTTTGAGTAGAAAATGTATTGGTCCGATACATCAAGGTTTAATTTATTATATGTAGTCTGTACATGCAATTAAATAAAATATGAAGGATCTGTATATATTATAGAAAGTTGTTTAATGCTCAGTTTTTTAGTTTTATCTAATAATTTTAATAATCATAATTTGAATTTTAATCCAAGTAAAACTAATTTCATTAATAAATAACTTAAGATAAAGAAGAAACAAAAAGTGGTTGATGGAAAACGTATGCATACGGCATATCATCAGTTTTTACATCGTATCACGTGCGGTACTTACGTCGCAAAAGTATGGTCACGTGAGTTCACGATTTATCAGAGCGTTTTGATTTAGATTTACATTGACAAATAGAAAGAAAGAAAGAAAAAATTGGCAAACGTGGGGCAGAGTTGCACGTGTTTTCACGTGCTTTGTTAACCGTCCATGCAAAGTTTCCTATTTAGTCAATTTTACCACGTACAGTCAAACCAGTCAGTTATGTTGACAAAGTCAAAACATAAGAATTCACTGGAAATTTCATTCTCATATTGTTAGTACATTAAAAGTTAATCATATACTAACAATCTTTTTTTGCAAACTTTTACAGCTCATAATTAATCAATAGTAATTTATCGGATAAGACTTAGATAAGATTCATTATAAATTAACCAATTGTGAGCTTCCACATCGGAGTTATAAAAAAAGTTTATGAAAAGAGGTTGTGAGTGTAACAGTTTTCGTATATTAAATATGTTGATTACACTAAATAAATTAAACTTACTTATAGAGATAATAAAATTGAGGGGAAATTTGGTTTAGGGTTATATAGGATTACCGAGGTTATGTCATCTTATATTACTTAATTATCACGTTTTGTTGTCAAATAATTATAAAAGATTCTGGTAATCTTCTAATACTAATAGTGGTTACTATTGGTAATATTGGAGGTAATCTGATAACCATCATCTTCTTAGGTATTGTAAGATTACTTGGTTATCTTATTTTTGTTACAATTTTATCCCTCATTAATAACATTTTTAGACAATAATACCCTTGTTTTAAAATCAATTTAAATTAATCCAACTTTTACAATTTTATTGTTGTTTAATTAAGTTTTTTGACAAAAATACCCTTGAATTCAAAACAAATTGCAGACTACCACCGCTATCCAACCACCACTGTTGGCAGTTGGCCAACCATCGTCGGCCGCCGCAAGAAGTCGCTAGGAGGCTCTGATATGGCCGTTTCTGGCCATATTAATGGCCGAAAACTGTCATATCGAAGTAGATCTAGCTGGAAATGGCAATATGGTCATTTCCGACCATATCTATTTTGGCTAGAATATATTTGGCCATTTTCGACCATATCTACTTCGATATGACAATTTTCGACCATCAATATGGCTAGAAAAGGCCCTATCAGAGCCTCCCAGCAACTCTTGATGATTTTCAGCTACTTTCGGCGACTTCCAACGGCAAATGGCAGTGGCGGGCAATGGCTTGGGGTGGTGGGGGTGATTTTGTTATAACTTAAAGTTATGTATAAGTTGGGGTGTTTTAGCTAAATCTGAAATGTTGGGGGTTAAAAGAATTATTCAAAAGTTAATAATAAAAATAATATTATATTAATATTTAAAAAGAGGGCAATTTAGTATTTTAAATAATATACACACGAATGTATTCCTCCTAACCAAATATATTAATATAACATACTCACTAATTTATTCCAACTAATTCAACATATTTTCCTAAAGATTCACAGTAATCTTCAAGGTAATCTAACTTTCCATTAATATAAGATTCCTAGTAATCCAACATTCCCTAAACCAAACGCACCTCAGCGTTTAAATTAAATCCCAATCAAATTAATTGAATAGAATCTACATCATTAATGTTAATCATAATTTTACTTTCATGATGCAAACAAAATTTTCAATGGTTTCTCTTTTGCTTTCAAAAATTATATATATATAAAACAACAATTATGAAGGAATCAATTAACTTTGATATTAATTATGATAAATGAATTATTATCAATTTGTTATAATCCCAAAAATTAATTAATTTGTTGGTTTGAGCCTTACCTTGTGGGCCGTGGGCTGATTGTACTGGAAGAGTACAAACAAAGAACATGGGCCATTCTGAAAAAGCCTGCTGAAACCCACCCACCCTTACGCAATTCTAAGTTGAAGATGAAGAAGAATGTTTTTTATATTTCAATCACAGTCCAAGCTTTGATGTTTGCCTCCACCCCCTCTACAACTTGCCAATAATGTATAGTGGGATTGAAATTGAAAGGCTAAGTAAAGGAATCTTCATCCTAATCCACAAGTTGGGAATCATCCCTTTCTTATTCACTAACTCTACCCTCAATTTCTTAAGTAGATTCAGAACAAAGAAGATAATGGTATCCGATTCATTTGATGAGTTTGGTATTCTTCTTTTGAGGACGAGTTTCATAGAAAATCAATATGGTAAACAGAACAATTTCTATTTATGTGTCGGTGTGCTTTTGTGTTACATTCTGGGCCTCAGGGTTGCTCGTAAATGTCATTAATTGGGTCATTCCTAATTACTTACAACCCTACTAAGCAGGGGCAGACCCAGAAATGAAACTTAGGGGGGTCAAAGGTTAAAGTAACAATTAACATAAATATAAATAAAAATAAACACAAATATTTGTATTAATAAAATTTTCATTAACTAATACATTTATAATTGTCCTTGATGAGATTTCATCTTTTGAAAATATTGTATAACGACTTCATTATCAATACTATCAAATACATCCTTCTCTATATACACAACTAAACTACCATTCAACAATTGATCACTCATTCTATTTCGCAAACGATTCTTTACAACATTCATTGTTGAAAATGCTCTATCTACACTAGCAGTGGCAACCGGTAAAATCAATGTTAATGTTATCAACATATGAACTAATGGAAACACTTTATCCTTCTTAGTTTCAACCATCACTGTTGCAAGATCTCCAATCTCATTCAATTCCATAAATTTGACATTAGAGCATACATCCAAAATGTAAATATCAAATTGAGAATCAAGTGTCATGAGTTCCAAGTCAAAAAAATCTTCTGGATAAAGTTCAGCAAGGCGCATCAATTTTTGCTTATCAAAAGCAACAAAATTCTCATTTGGACATAAGCATGCCAAACTAATAAGTAATTCAGTGTTTACCTCATTGAAACGATTATTCAACTCTTGAAGCTGCATATCTAGGACACTATAAAATACTTCAATGCGGTAATGATGCATGTTTGTAATATCTTTAGTCTTCCATTGTGATCACCCTATAAAAATTTTGTCATCCATATTTGGAATTTCAATGTCATGTTTGGCACAAAAAGAACAAACTTTGCTAAGTAAATTCTCCCAT